TTGTCTTATACAGTCGAGGGTCAAGTGGGTCGAAACGACGAACGTTACTTGTTTGTGGAAGGAGCTTTGTGTGACAGACTAGGTGAATTTTCTTGAGTTGCGAGCGTCTTTTTATTTACGGAAAACAAAGCATATAAATACAGCGTGAGTAGCGTCCCTATAATAACAATCTTCAGTTGCTTAATATCACTATATGATATGCTTAGTGATCTAAAGTTATCGTGTTTGCAGTATATCTATTGTTCCTTTCAGGATTGAGTCGAGCGAGGTCCGAGGGACCGACGCGCTACTTGTTATATTAATGTTAATTAGAATAATTACAATTTTATCTTGTTCACTTACATTCGTACCATCAAATTCTAATGGTAAACATTCAATAATTTGACCAGAAATTTTAATATTTGTATCTTTAACTGTTTTTATCTAATTCATAGAATTTTCTTTCGATTTCTTCTCAAGTTACACCAAAATCTACTCAAAATTTCGAACAAACAATTTTCAGTTGTATTTGAGTGTGGGTGTGAGCGTGGGTATGCGAGATAATAAAGAGAAGACCTACACCTATATCCATCCACAGCGCCTAAAGGACGGCTCTTTAGTGCGCTCAAGGATGGTTTATTTTAGATATATTCATCAAAAACCAATCTGTCGCCACCTTTACTTTTTGAAGTATACATAATACTCGGATTTCAATCCGAGGTTTCCGCATTCATTATTTCATAGCATTTGATAATGATCAAAATTGTCTTTTAGAAGTAAATCGAGTGTATTGTGTGTTATGATAACGACGTTACAATGATAAATTGAAAAAGAACATGTCTTCTTTTACCTGTATATTCATCTCGTTTTATATCATTCTATGTATTTGTTCTTGAAGTCCACTTTATTTGTTATAATATATGTATTCACGTTTCTCTTTTCTTCTTCTTAGGTGTATCATATCAAAGTGTTAGTGGGTAGGATTCGTGTTTATCATATCATTCAAGTCAAGTTCATGTGTATATATGTGATTAGAAGAAAAAGAAGAATAATTTTTAACTATTAAGTAAATAATATTGACCTTGAGAGTGGTTAGACGTGGATAAAAATTAGGAATGGACAGACTCGAATTCACGAACTCTTAAATGATGTACAGAGTTGTTTAGGTAATTCTTTTTTCATGAATTGGACTTTTAAGATAAACAAAACTGCTCTGAATTAAAACTGAAGTTCATCAAGCTAATGAATTCTGCAATCATTTTATAAGAATTAGCAGTATTCTAGGCTATTGATTCGATTGCACACTTTCTCACGAACTTCTGAGATCATCAATCAATAAAACTTGAAAAACTACACAACACATGTATTTAAAATGGAGTTAGTTTTTGTCTTGAAATTGCCCTATTTTTTTCTAAAGATTATCTTTTTGAGTAGAAAAGGTTCACATTTATAGAGAACTCAAAATTATGAGTTAAAAAAATATTCTACATGAACAATAATGTCACAGAAGTCTCAACAAGAAAAATGAAGTATATAATGTGGTCAAAGTAAAATAAAAAATAAAGGAGTTTCGAAAGATTTGCTTACCATATTTTGAAAAACAGAGACCTCGAAATCAAAAAAATACTTAGTTTTTACTACTGACAAGAATAATTTATGTGAAATGTAAGAAATTCTAGGCATGAAAATAGTTAATATTGTTCTCCTCAAAATAAAGCTGTAAAAAGTGATTAGCAACAATCCTTGATGCTCTACACATATGATTCAAGAAGGAATTTATACGAGCTATATATGGAGACCAATTTATATCCATTCTATATAATATTAAATATACATCCAATAAATCGGTCAATTATTTTTATATTATAGCGAGATGCTACTCTCTATATAGAAATTTTTTTTTTTAATGGATCGACAATTAATGTTCTCTATAAGATGGAGTGAATTAGGTGTAAGTTAATTGTCTTAAGAAATGAATTGAATTGACTATTGAAGGAATATTAAATTCTGTCTTTTCGATTGTATGAAATAATCAAGTCATCAGTCCTTGTCTTTCTTCATATTCTTGCGGTTAAAGAAAGTGTAAGATAGATAACAAATATTAACAATAGTCTGACCTTTGTTAAATTGAGATTCTTATCTTAAATATCTTTCAAATTACGAGTTACTTTTATTTGTAGAAGAATGAAATTGGAACATTCATGTACACTCATTAGTTTCGCAATTCTTGTCTTTTTTAAAATCACTATCGTATCCTTGACAAGAATATTACAATATGAATCTGAATGGATAATGGTTGAATTACAAGACGCACAGGTATTCGAAACAAAAATGGATACGAGTATGGATTTTTTCTTAGCTAATGATAACAATGGAATTTGTATTGACGGCGTTTATGTAAAACAATATCCACTGGTAATGCTAAAAGATAATCAACCGATATTGATAGTTGATGGTTCCAAACAAATAATGAATGATTCTTCAGTTAGCTGTGACAATATATTAGATTACACAAGTTCAAATGTTATTCTGAATAGCGACATCCCTCAAAGTATAACTAACGAGTGAGTATAACGAAATTTACTAAACTTTTTATGAGAATAGAAGTGTATTGAGAAGCTTCCTGTAGTAACTAATATACTGAAGTTTTCCTGTTTTTTAGGGTAATGATTGAAGTTTTTCGATGATTTTATCAAATATTCTTACTTTCTAATGCTGTACAAGAGTAAAAGAGAAAAGAAGAGCAAAAAAACATGAATAATCTAATTGAATAACGATATGAATGTAATTTACGTAAAGTAATAAGGAAACCTCATCTTCTATGAAATATCATTAATCAATAATAATCATAAATATCTGCAACACTTGCTTCTACCAAAATTGAGATAATGCTTAAAGTTTACTTGATCATTTTCAGTCTAACAACTATATCGTGGACTTTGACAACTATTCCGAATGGTTTTACGGAAGAAGAAATCATTAGGACGATTCAATATAGTATGGATAAGTGGACCACAGAACTTACATTGGAATTTGTCTATATAGGACGTCATTAGAATGCGAACGTTACAATTGGCTTCTTCGAAGCACTCTACCATACTATATGGCACCAAGGTGCAATAAAAAACTGTACATTTCCATTTAAGCGAAATACTTTAGCCCATGCTCATGGGCTCCATCATCCACCCGACGTACGTGGACAAATTCATTTCAATGGGCTTTATCGTTGGAGTCTATAGTAAGCATAAAATGTAGTATGTGTGATGTATTTTTTCTAAGATCTGCAATCTCTTAGAAATGAAATTTATTGAACCTAGTAATATATTATCAAGCCAACTTTCATTCATCGTATGCTTTGAATGTTCGTATCTATCTAAATATATTTTATGTATATATAAAGAAGAATGATTCTTTAACAAGATCTATTGTAGTTCAATGTAGCACATGATCACTGCATATATTGAAAGGTTTTGTGGTATGTGATATTTTTCGCAGCATCTACACCTCATAATATTGAGTATATAAATTGAGTGAATGATTAGATCGGTAGATTACAAGTAGCTAAATTCATCTTACAGCTTTAATGTTACACTTTTGATCGATTCCTCCAAATTATTGATAGAAGTAAAAAAAAACTTAATTACTTTATAATTCTTTCCATCATGGCGTATGAAGTTATGGAAGTTCGAATACAATAAGAATTTATATATGCGTGAAAAAATAGATTTAGATGAGTATTTAAATGCTATAAAATTCGTTATTCCAAGAAGCAGGCTAATGGGTATGCTGAGATCTTTAAATTTTAATCACTAGTTAAAAGGAAACAAGCTGAACCTTTTATAGCATAGAAATTGGTGAAAAACATCGAAAAACATAATAATTCATTAACATCATAAATACGTTTTAGATATGATGAGAGTTATCATAAACTATTATAAATTATCAACAATTAAAGGATAAAATCGCAAGCATCAGTTTTTGCTTTGATATGTAACTATTACTATTGTTTTTCAAAAATACATTCGAATTGATTAGAAAACAATTATGATGCTATATTAGATTGTATTGTTGACTTTTTCAAATATACAGTGTTATCTTAATGATATAAATAAATCTAGACTTTTTTGTTGTACAGAAATTATCTTAAAATCTTAATGCAAATATTCATCTCGTTGACTATCGATATTTTATACCTTTCTTTTTTTTAGTAATAATGGGACTATGAACAATAGTATTCCAATCTTCCACGTATCACTGCACGAAATAGGACACATACTAAAACTTCCAGACAACAATGAGACAAATATTGTTATGTACAAAGCACTCATTCCTATACATCACGATATAACAAATATTGACAAAACTCGAGCTCAGGCAATATGGGGTCACTCAATAAAAAAAGGGGAAAAAATGCAACTGTTTCACCAACAAACATGAATCCTAGTAAATATAAGTACACTAAAGTCTTTGTTCTTATAATCATCATTATTGTATTACTTATTCTACTAATAATTATTACATTTTTGCTATTGAAAATGACTAATGAACGTCGTAGTTTTCCGGAAAACAATAGTTTAATACTTAACAATAATCTTTCTTGATTGTAATTACATTTGTTTTCTCTGATTATTGAATCTTGTAATCTTAATAAATGCTTTGATGTGATTAATAAATTAAGAAGAATTTTTTAAAAAATATACAATTTAGGAAAAATTATTTCGTTGATATCTATTTTTATATCAAAAGAAATATAGATAAATGATAAATAATAAATTAGCAATTAACTTATTCTACTAATATTGAAATTGACATGTATGTTCACAGAATTCTCGAGTAAGAAATGTCTTACGATTAGCAGAACAACCGCTATACATAAATTCCTTGCACAAATTATGGTGAAAATCAAAGTAAAATCGATTCGTATAACGATATGAGCAGCGGCCAGTCCGTATAGGTCTATTACATAATGTATCTAAACACAAGAACAATAACGTGAATTAAAAGAAGAAAAATATGTAAAACTACAAAATTTTACTGTAAATTTCATGTTTCGCTTTGACATGAATATCAGCAATGGCACATTCTGTATATGAATCACATTGTTCATAGATTGGAAACGATTGTGTACGATTGAAACATAAGCAAAGAGCTGGATCTTTTAATGTACAATTACAAAGAGTAAATGAGAAAGTTTTTATTATTTCATTTGAAATACACATATAGTTTGGAGTAACAAATGGTAAAATATTGTATGGTATTTCAATACATGTTGTTCTTGTTGAATCACAACATCCACAAGTACCAATAACTCCAGGAAGACAACTACTTGTTCTACTGAAAGTAACTGTTGAAATGAGAAGAATCCATGTTAGTAAGTTTTCATAAGAATTCATTGCTACAAATCAAGATAAATGGCCTAACAGAAAATGTTGTATTATCGTTGTATACATAACTTCTATTCTGTTTCTCATAATAATATATTTTTTTCTTTATCTTTCTTTCTGATTTTCTCGTCAAACGTTTGTCATTGTTGTGAAGGTTAATACGCCAGACTCGTTCTTCTTCTCTCGTTTTAGCTCGTATGTAGATAATTCTTCTATGAATCAACAATACGAAAGATAATGCAAATGTATTTGTTTAAGAATATCGTTGAATTTGGTTAAATAAAATTAGAGATTCAACTAAACTGTTCATATGTATGGAAGATGTATGAAGAATGACTTTTATTCAATAGAATCAGATAGGAAAAACAAGAGACTTGTAATTATTTATTTGTTGAAATGAAACTTTCAATAATAAAATCCAGTCATGAGAAGAAATATCGAAAGAGAACTCTTGTCGTTATCAATGTTCGCAACAAACAATGCTTGTAGGGAAGAAAAATTATTTTGAAAATATTTCTCTTAGGATACTATTTTTACATATTGTAACATTGATTTTTTTCTCCCAAACTAAAGCGAAACATCGACAACAACTATATGTAAGGATAACGAAATGGTTTTTAATTGTTTCATTGATTAAAATACAAAATGTACTCAATGTTTAAAATGTAGATGAACTTGTTGTTCGATAATTTATGTAATGTACGTATATATATGTATATTGTATTTTATTGTACTCGACGATAGAGATAGTCAATCCATTGTTATATAATAAAAATATGTATTGATAAATAATCTTCTTCATGTAGGTTTAGTTTCCTCATTATTGAATAAAATTGATGAGAATAGATTTTTTCAAATTTTCTTGTAATTGACAAGTATCGATAAACATTTTTACTTATTAAGAATTTGGAGGTGAAATAATATAAAGTTAAACCAGAATCTTGCAACATCAAGATTCTATGCTTATGAATAATATTGATCAGTTTTATGTAATCAATAGAAAGAAATTATTCATTCTAACCAACGAAATAGATGCTCAGGAAAAGTTGAAGATCAATACTGTTTAATTAACATTATTGTGAGGATGTGAATATTGGTGTCCTATTCGTGCTTGTTCATATCAGATCCTTGTCCTCACTTATGTTCTCATATAGAAATTTAACAGTTAACAGGTTAATTCGGACAAAGCGATATACATGATAATTAAATTCTCAAAATGACTTAGATTATTTATTATTACTCAAACTTATAATTTCGAAATACGTCTTGCTTAATATCTTCCCTTTGTAGCAATTTGAGATCGTTGCAATTATACTATTTACTTAAATTCTGTACATAAACATCAAGTATGTTCCTACTTTGAGAAATATTGAAGTAAATGAGTAATTTTTCTCTATAATTCGATAATTGTACAACGAAAGAATATTGATCAGCAATATTACGAAGTAAATCACCATCACACACTGGAATATCTCCACGTTCTGGATTAAATAATTTGAGATTTTCTCAACATTCACTGGATAATTGATTTTGATTATGTCGAATGAAATGGTTGAAGTGTCTGTCGAATTCGACGCATATCCAAATTAACTTTTTGGTATCGCTCCAACGCATTGTACTGTAAAGAAACAATCGATAATTTATTATCACAAAGCGTAATTAAGCTTATAATTGTCATAATAATCATAAAGTAATCGTGTGACGTCATAATACTATTTGAAAAGAAGAATCCAGTTGGAGTTATGATGAAAGAATACTAACTATATTATATGTATTATGTATATACGAATAATATTTATGAATTATTTCTTCTCTATCATACAGCGTGGAAAGATAAAAAAAGATTCAGTTTCTTTGTAAGAAATATATTTTTATATTTTCTTTATATTATACCTGCACAATTTCTTTTACTGACAGACTTGTAATATGAAAGTATTAGAAATGTGGAGGTTAAAACAAACAAGTAGAAGTTTATAATAATATAATATGTATGAATTAATATTATTCAGAATATTAACATTCGTTTTATGTATTGTTTAAAACAAAAGATTTGAAGTCTCTTAATATTTGTTGATATCTTGAGGGTGTGGATATGAGTATGTATAAAGAAGAACTGTCATGACGCGTTTCAATCTTATTCAAAGATGTTGACGAATGGAAAAAGAATCGACATACGAAAATATCAAGCTCAATTGACATTATCTACAAAGCACATGATTGATCAAAGAATATGGTAATAGTATTTAAAAAAAGAAGTAGAAATGAATCATTGTATTGTCTTGCGATCGTAAAACTAAATTTTGTTTGATATATTGAATAAGACAATAAATAAATTATTAAGTAACGGTTAGTTTCAGGGGTATATATATAATAGAAAGAAGGAAAACTAACTTTATTTGAATAAAAAATGGCATTTATGTACATATATTGTAGGATTGCAATGTTTATGTTATATGTACAGTTGTTTTACATGATTGTTGCGCGTCTTTATAGGAAACAGAACTGTCAGCCTGGCTGAGAAACGATTTGAATCTTTTTTTGTGAATTATGAAAAAATTTCAGTAATTTAGGTCTTTCTTTTATGAAAAATATTCGCGATGATTGTCTCTTTGTTTTAACTTTCCTATTTGTACTTTTTTCAAGCATTTGACAAGGCGTCAGTTGACTCCAGATATCCCCTGAGTGTATGAGCATATGTATCAAAATAGTATTAAAAAATTTTCACTATAGGTCGCAATATTTTTTCCTCGAATAATACTTTGTGTGTAAGAAAATCTTCGGTTTCAAGATGTGTACATACTTGCTCTCTATCATCGTCATGAAAATGTTAAATGAATAGAACTGAAATTGTGCATCAATCCTAACTTATACAATTCAATCGATTTCAATAATTACAAATATCAGTTGGCTAGTTGGCAGCTCTGGTTAGAAGATCGATTATTTTTTAATATATTGATGATGAAGAAGAATCTCTAAAGTATGGTCATTATCTATCTCATTCTGATTAATATAATATAAGGTAATCATTATTCTTTACTGAAATTAGAGCTATTTATCCATAAGATCAACTTCAATAGATCAAATCGACTGATTATACTCTTTTAGGCAAAATCCATTATGTTGAAAGCTTAGGAGAAGATTTTTATCAAACTCTTTTTCTCTCCTCTCAGCTCTTTCCTTGAATTAGCCAACGCTTTGTCCAACAGCGACATGAAATACAAATGGAATTACTTTTACGATTCACATGACAATTGGTTTCAAGTCTCGCGCGCTTTTTATTGACGCAACAAACAACAAGATTAGAATCATCTTCCATTTTTGTTAGTAATTATCGAACGTTGCGTCAAATCGATCGATGGAAATCAAGTTCCAATATGTTAATTGTTGTAATGATTATTAATACATTGAGGGTGTGGGTTGTTGGTTAAAACATTCACCCATACACTAAAGATAGTAAAATAATATAGTTTGTATTCCATTAAAAAGAACTTGTCTTTAGTTGAAAACATATCTAAATATGAGTGAATTACAAGTTTATTGTACTGTTTGAGAAAAAAATTGGCGAAAAATAAACTTTTGATTTTGCAGGTAATAAGTAGTGCATCTTAAAGTACTATGTGAGAAAGTAATATGACGAAAGTTTTCCGACTACCATGAAGGCTGTTGCTGAGATATATGAAAATCCCTAAAATCCTATAAAACATGCTGTAATATGCCTTTTTTGCGTATATATATGAAGACATTTTATATACAATTTTACGAAATATATCAAAAAAATCTTTGTAGTTTTCGTCGTATTTATGTGTAATCTGGTGAGTCACGTTGTTTCCTTAAGCACGTTTTTATGTTTGAAGGATGAATAATGTCGCGTGATATAGTGGCGATATTTTTACTGTTTCTCGCGATAGACAAAATATGTGGCTTTGATATTTTGATCAATAGTTGAGCATAATGAGTGAATAAAATGACTAAAGTTTCGTTGCGACATGCTTTAGTATACGAGAATTACGCTACAAACAAATCTAAAAATCTCACGTGACATTTTCTCTGATCGTTTTGAGTAAATTTAAATAGTACCAAATGTCGCTTATTTAACAGCAACCCGATCAATTTTAGACGAATCATTGTGTTCGAAAATGAATTTCAGTCTCGCGTGAAAGCAAATTGAGAGTTGTATGTACGCATGGTTTTCCGAGAAAACTATAATAAAAAACATATCGAAAGAACGAATGACTCTTCTATCCGAGAAGTGTAGACTGTGTACTGTAAATATCAACAACTGTCAAAATTCTAATGATAAGTAAGAAATTGATCATACGACTTTTTGTCCAATAGATGGAAGCTTTTTTGTGTGGTACTGAGGATATCTTAGTAGAACATATGGTAAATAAATCACAAGGATTGGTTGAGTAGAACTTGAGATATTGAAATTTTACGTTCAAGAATACAACGGTAGAATAAACTTGCAATTCACTCATATATACAACAGAAAAGAGAAGAGGCCCACATATAGACATAAAAAGAATAGAACAGAAAAAAAAGAAGTGTTAAAACATTTGAGTACACTAACATGTTGATAGAATTATGCGATGAAAGAAAGATATGGATGAAGGTCACATCTACAATATTTATCTTCGATACTCGATCATTGTCATTAATGTATTAGTTTCTTCATCGCTTTCTTTCTCCCAAAAATACGGATCACTACAATTACGATAATTGTGTAAATTTTGTACATATGAATTAAGTATATTCCTACTAAGATTATCATATATAGTATATGATTGTGGATCTTTTCTTAATCCTTGACGAATGGCTCTTTCACATGGTAAAATTTGATTTATATCAGAATATATGAGCATGGAATAAAGACCATCGATACACCATTGTTCAGTATAATTTGATAATTCTACTACAAAATTCCATTTATCAGCAAGATTACGAAGTAGACGACCATCACAACTGCCCATATCTCCACGTGTTGGATCATATAATTTTAAATTGTTTTGACATTGTCTCGTGAGACGAGTTCGATTTTCTCGAATGAAATTGTGACAATCATTTCTTCCCATAATAACATAATAATTATTTCGTATGTCAAACATATAAACTCTTTGTTGAGGACAGCATGTCCATAAAGTTTTAAGCATATTATTATATTTATGATAAACATCTCGTGAATTATATAAAGAACGAAGTGGGTCTAATGTTTGTTTGATTCGATGTAAATCATTCCTTATTTTGCTTTTTGGTAGAATTTTCTGTTGACTAAATGAGTTCTGTTGTAAAGAAAGAGATGATGATTTATTGCTGGATATTTGAAATATATTTATGAATATTATAATAAATAAAATAAAATTATATGATAACATTACATATGTTGAATAAAAAGAATAGTTTGAAAGAAACGATATATATAAATTACTCTGTCGTCGTTTCTCTTCCAATGTATGAATGGGATAGAATATGTATCTTATTTTCCTTTCTTTTCTCTAAGACAGATTTGTTTTTTCTTTTCTTTCCTCTCCTTCCTCTCTTATACCCAAAATAACATACAAAAAAAAGACCTATCGGTAATAACTCGATAAACAGAAACGTAATTTATATTGTGCTATTATGAAATGTTAGAGAAAATCATAGAAAGCTATTTTCGCGGATCTCCATAGGCTGTTATTAAAACTACGAATCTCAACAAAACTGAATTTCATCATTTTCTTCGAATGATAATTGAATTTATAAACTACAGAGTATTCAGGATGTTATTTTAGAAAAAAGAGATTTGTACATTGTTTTAATTTCTTTGTATCTACATCTGAATATTTTCTCTTTGATTTTAACAAGTAATATTTAAAGTTTTGAGAAAAAGATGTTGTGGATTTGGTGCCCGAACAAGTTAATATTTCTATTAATAGAAGATTTTAATATTTTGTTATCTATATATTTGATTTTTGAGAAAATACTTCTGATTGAGATGATTGTATGATGTGCATTATCAACGATACAAACAATTATTCATCATTAGGGCTGAAGAACATATAATATTTTTGCTTAAAATTGTAAATAATCATGTATCAACAGTTTATTAACTATACATGAAAAATGTTAGGAAATGTAAAATAAGATCCACTGTTCTTTTTTTGAAAACAATATGCTTGGAAAGGGTAACTACTAATATCTTTTGTGATTTCTCATTTTTCTTCTTGTAAACGGGACACATATATGATATCCGAAGAAAATCTTCACTCGTACTCGAACGAACGAGATGATATTTTTACCAAATAGAGTTAAGTGTATTGTTTTTCTTTTTTTAATCTGTGAGTAGGTAAAACTATGTTTTTAAGACTGATAATGATATTTAATGAGTCGTAGCATAAATATACTTTCATTCTTGTTAAAAACATCAACTTGTTTATATTAGTCAAGATGGATGTATTGAATTTTCTCTTCGAAATAAATTGACTAATGTGCCATCGTGTGTATAATAACATTTATTTTTGTTACCTATATAAAAATAAATTTTCGTGATCCACTTTTGAACGTGGTATAAGGATGAATCATTAGTTTGCGTCAATTGTAAGTAGTAAAATATTAATCAAGCTGCGTAGCGTCTGTCAGGATTCCAACGAAAGAATTGTATATTATGAACTTCATGATTATATAGAATCGAGAAAGTGCTATTTTAAATTATTTCTCGAATATATAAAAAGAACACAAAAATCTTCTATCGATACTGATACTAGTTATTACATAATTTCATGTTCGTTCGCTCTTATCTATTATTCTCTATTATATATGAACTGATTATATTCTCAATGTTAAGTGAAGTTAACAAACATCCTTGTCGAGGTTGTGATAATATTATACTCTTCCAATCTATCGAGTTACAGGTATAATGCATTGAAGGTCACCTTCTCATGCTGTAAAATAATGTTGGAAAAGATTTTATTCTATTTTCTTTAATTTTAATACATTTATATACTTTAAACTTCTCGACCATTTTTTTTTCATTTTAGTTTCAGTTTTTGTTTATTTAATAGACATTATGTAAATTATTCTTTTTTTTATGATCATGGTTTTTAGTACTTTGAACTTCTCTACAGAAGTTATATTAAATTATCACTATTTCTATAGTCTATTTGCAGAAAGGTAGTAAGATGATAATAGATTCTTATCACATACAATGGTCTTCATCCTATTAACGTTCGTAATATGCATTTCTATCATTTTCAGATAAAAAATAAAGTGAGTTTAGATATGTATTACACTTGTTTGTTACTAAAGATGAATGCATTTAGCATATTTAAACATTTAAATATGATTTTATTAATTTCGATTCATATTTACTTTATAAGTTAAATTGAATATTTTCAGAAATCAAATCATTACCTATAATTAATAAGTACACAAAAATATCTTATTGAAAATATAAAATAATCTCATCTTTCGCCAAATTTCATATTTGAAAAGCAAATAAAAATAATCTTGCTTTGACTTACCTCAACTTGTAGTGAGCTATTTCCAATAAAGTATTTGATGAATAATAAAATAGTACACTTTAAACTATTTATTGTTTAACTAAATAGATACAATTTTGGATATCGTAGAAAATAATAATTTGCATTTATTATGATTACTTTTTTATTATTATTTTTCATCAAAATCTTGAGTAAATATGTTGTGAAATTTATTCAACAAAAATTATTCTCATCTGAAAAATTCTTACTTATTGTTTTTCATGATATAAGATTTGTATTTTAGATTCACTGGCAATTACAATCGACATCTTCTATAATGTACATAGTATAAATCAAATTTAACTGTTCGAATTAAAAATATAATTATAAAACTAATGTATTTATTAATATTATTTTACCTGATGAGAGTTAACTTACTTGGATATGCAAACGACGATCAAATCAGTGATCTTGTATTTGAACGAGACTTTCTTTGGAAAAATCAAGAAGTTACTTTAGCATTTGTGAATGGTGACCAAGAAAAACAGTTACAATTTCGTCGAATATATTTTCAATGGTTTTTATCTACTCATATTCATTTCAAAGAAGTTCCACTTAATCACAGTGCTGATATTCGAGTAGGATTTGGACTAGATAAACAAAGTTCATGGTCACTTATTGGATCTAATTCAGCTTTTTATTCATATGATATAAAATTTGGTAAAATTTTTCGTGATCACAAAAAAACGAACTATCCATCTTTGGTTGTTGCATTTAATACACAACGTGAAATATTGCATGAAGGAGGACATTCTATAGGATTTAATCATGAACATTTTCATTCATTAGCAAATATATCATGGAAGAAGAGTTTTATAGATGGATCAATGACTCCCGATTTGCCACACAATTATATCAAAAGAAATTATCTTAAAAAAATTGCTCCAAACAAAAGTTTAGGCATGTTTGATACGTAAGTTATAATGTATTCTATCTCTTCTGTAAATTCCTTTCGAATATTACATCATCTAATCATACTAACATTTTCTACTATAATTTATCATTTTTATAAAACTCTTTTCATCTAAACAAAATGATTTATATTGTTGCATTAAATCTAATTGCGATTTCGATTTCATCATATAAGTTTTTGTTACATTAATCGTGATGATTAATAACATATATTTGAAAACAAAAAATCAATCTATTATTCGATAGATGTTTAAAACGATCTTATCGAATATTTTCATTATTTTTAATGTTATATATGCAACTTACCATTAGATATCACTTTATAGAAACAACTATATTCCTAATATTATAGATTGTTTTCAATCGTAATATAGAAAAAAGTCTATTGATATAGATACTATCGAAATATAAACGTGTGATAATAATCGCATTTGTCAATAAACAATTCATTTATGAGATAGAAATTATTGAATTGAATATTATATATGTATTCTAAGCACTGCCAAAGTCAGCTAAAAAACTAATTGATACTTCCATGTCATATTTGAGCGGATAAATAGATTTTTTTAATCTATACTAATAATGTTTCTTTGGTCAATTAAAATTGTTTATATTCTAGTGAGAGCATCATGCTTTACAAAATCGATCAATCATTTACTAACAACAATTTTTCCACTAAAATAAATGAAAAGTTATCGTTCAATGACCAATATTATGCAGCGCAATTATATATGAATTTTATAGACAAAGATTATGAACACTGTTACAAAAATATATCTTGCAAAGACAAAAACTATCTTAAAAAACTTCAATGTTATAATACTTGGTACACATATTGTGTGGGATTCGTTAGAGATTATGAATTTTGTAAAATTTATAAAAATTCAAAAACAGAATATTTATACTATTTATCGATAAAGAACAAAACCCAAATATTTCCATTTGACGAAATTAACAAGAGTCTTTGTCACGCATCAGGTATATGAAAATTATTTCATGACTTTTTACTACTTTTACTATAGAGAATATAGAAAGATTTTTATTAAAACAAAGTTACTTTCTTCTGAAATAGTATAAATCAAACTAATCTTAATATAGTATTATTGTCTGAGAAAATATAGTTTGATAACATTTAAAAACTTCATTTACTTATTATCCAAAACTGAAAAATGAATTCTAATATTGTTTGTATATCAAAAGAAAACTAACCACCTTGTATCGTTTATTTTATATTTATGATTTCTAGGTGTTGATCCAATCATCATCCTCATATGTCTGTTGATATTTATTATCTCTTTCGCTCTATTCCTGTTCATCAAAAATCGGTATATTATTTTATTCTATTGCTGATCATTGCATAATATTGCCCATTTAAGAACAAATTTTTTATTAAACTTTTAGATCAGTTTTCTATGGGAAAAGAAACGTCTCTATTTGACTTATGAAAAAGGTGATTTCAATAATCAAATCGTCTACAAAATAGAAACATATTGAAAGATTAAAAAACTAATAAAGATTGTTTTATCTACTTTGTGCTTTAGAAGAATAATAAGTGTGTTATAATATTAATAAAATCACTTGGAAATATTCCTATACAATCATTCCTCCTCCTGCATACACGAAGAATAGACGTATATATATATTTTTCTGTATAATAAATCTTTATCTGCACGTGTACAGTACACGTGATTTGATTAATTTGATATTGCTCAATTAACGATTAAA